GGATAAAAAATACAATTATATTATTGGTGCAAATAGGGAAAAAAATATAAAATTGTGATTAAAGATGTATCGATTAATACGTGTAATTCTTCAAATGTATTGGTGAGGCACTGCCTCATCTGCCTCATAGGACAAGCCGCCCCTGGAAGACTCCATCCGTAACTTGGAATTGGAATCCTCCGAAAGATATATACTCGAAGAAATTTTTCAAGAGGACCTTTTTTACGACAAATTATTTTTTACGACCTTAATGAGTAAAAAAGGAGTCTTTCGTTTAATCCCGATTGAGTGAAAACACTTAACACGTAGTGAGTTCACTCTTTTTTAAGTGAATGAATACTCAAAATCCTACTCAAAGTGGACTGTTTTAAGTAAAAAGGAGTCTTTCGTCTAATCTCGATTGAGTGAAAACACTCAGTGCTTTGCACTCTGAGAATTGAAGATTCGCTCAGTTCTGTAGAGTGAAAATTTCACTCAATCGGCTGTGGGCAGAAATTGAGAAAGTATTGAGTGAAATCGTTGAAATTGAGTAAAATTTCACTCATTTTTTTTACAGTGTGTGTGCATGGAGTTTAAAGCGTTCACAGAAGCAAAATTCGTGATTCCTAACCAAAAATTCAGCGTTTTCAGAACAAAAAATTTGGAGTTTTCAACTAATTTCTAATCGTCAGAATAGTTCGCGTACTAGTAAGAACTTTTTAGTTTTGGTCATGCGCATAGTTTCGGTCATGCATTTTGATTACGAATTGATACACGATCAAAAACAAAAAATTTTCCATCAACATAATTGAAACAATTAAATTTGGCAAAAATATATATATTTTTTTGATATTTGGTATTTTCAAATATGACATAAATTAGGAGTGATTGACGCATTCAATTGTTTTTGGTCACTTTCTGTTTCACCGGAAATGAATACAACTTTCGATTTTTAAATGGCACCCTCGGTATATTTTTACTTTATTCGATAGAAAATGACGCTCTGAATAGAAGAACATATCACATGTCAACTTTTGACATTTTTGCTCAAAACAAAATCGTATTTTAAATTACAATCTAGAGTGCCATGACTGTGCTAAAAACATTAATTTTTAACCAAGGTGCCTTGGAAAAATAGATTTGATCGCCTAATGTTTTTCCTATCTTGTCCTGGTCGGTTAAAAGATGCCCAAATCGTATTTTTCATCATATCTTATTTTTTTCAAATGGAACAAGGGTGGCTTATTGGCAAATTTGGAAAAAGATTTTTTTACGAATAATTTGGTACTACACACTTGGTATTTCGAGTCAAATTGTGGTTATAAGCCGTATGATATGATTTCAAAAACCATATGCGAAAATGTCAAAAGATGACATAAGATATGTCATTCTATTCAGAGTTTCATTTTCTGTTGAATAAAGTAAAAAAAATTCCGAGGGTGCCATTTAAAAATCTAAAGTTGTAGTCATTTCCTGTAAAACACGAAGTGACTAAAAACAATCAATCCTAATTTATGTCCATATACTAACATACCAAATCTCGTTTTTTTATCTGAAAAAATAAAAAGTTATAGGAGTGAACAACTTTTGAGACGCACCCGGTATACTAGGAACAAATTTTGTACCAGAATTTCTTAATTCAGACTTGTTACATTTAATAAAACTAAGAAGAATCATTTATGACACCACCATTAGCGTAACTAGCAATTTATCCTGGGGTGGGCCTGGGGGTGGCTGGTGCTGAGTCCACCAGGTGGGGGGGCTAGGGCTTTTGTTTTTTAAAAATGAAAAATAATTTTAAAAAACATATTTTTTGAATAAAACTTTTACATGAATTTCTCTATCAATAAATTTCATAGACTTGATTATCAAACCGTGTTCCCGTAGATTACTTAAATACCTATACATTTTCTAAAAAAAATTAATTTAACACATTTTTTGAATACAACAAAATAATATTAACTAAACCAAACTAGAAAACGTAATTTTTACTACATCTCAAGCAAATAAAAATTACTACGTAGCCAAGAGTCATAATTCAGGATTTATCTGGGGGGTGCTCTGCAGTACCTGGGGGGGGGGGCGGCGCCACCGGGCTCCCCTGTAGTTACGCCAATGGACACCACAAGAAAAATATTTATTTATTTACCATTTAATCCATAAAATAAATAAATAGTAAACAAAGCTGTCAGAGGTTAATTGTCACGTCATTCCCAGACTTACTCGTTGACATTTGATTTCGATTAGCAGAAGTACCGTATGATCGAAAAAAAACGGCATCCAGTTGGCTTAGAAATGACGATCGATGACATTTTCCATATAATTTTACATATAAAATGACAGCGATCGTCATTTCATAGCCATCGCTGACGCCGTTTTTATTCGATCATACGGTACAATCGAGTACCAGATTTGAAACTAGTTGGAAACCAACGATCCGACCGAAACAAATTGACAACCGGTATTCTTTGAGCTCTACTGTAAAATGTATGTGCCCTTATTGAGGATCCGCCACTGGACTATAAGTAAAATATTACGGAGAATCCGGTAAACAGAATAATTAAATACCAAACGGTCGATATAAATGCTTACTGAATATCAAAAGACGGCTGGTGGCATTTCATTGCGCATTTCATTCGATAAAACGACAAGCTTCTAAGTCACGTCACAAAATCATTTTCCTTCGTTAATACTTAATGATGACGTCAATCATATCGACGAATGTAAACAGTGGATTTGATGATGATGGCACACGCCTGCGTTCGATTGGAAAATGACAAAGAGAAATAATCATGGAAAACTAGAGATGGGCAAAAAATCTCTGAATCTCTGAATCATGTCGAGTAGATAGTTATTTGACTGAAATGATAAATTTGGGAACTTTTTATTTTTTTAAATTGATCATAAATTTTTCTTCGAAAAAATGATGATAAAAAAGTTTCTGTTGAACTTTTGACACAAAAATATTTCAAATTTATGATTTCAGTTTAATAACTATTTAGTTAACATGTTTAATTTCTGTCAATGATGACAGGTATTGATAATTTCGATTCCAAATATCTCGAGAACAGTAGCGATTTTTACAAAGAGATCTTTTTTACGTAAAAAAACGTCGTAAATGTATATTTTTTTCACCTAACAGTTTTATACAGGTACGGACAAAAAGTTATTACTCTTCAAACCAGTTAAAAAATATGTAGGTGGCGCCTACAAGTACGAGTCATATTCACATCAAAATCAAATTTCTCATAGACACCATTTCTCATCCAAATATTGACGTTACTTTAGAAATTACTGGGAAAAAATGAAAATAAAAATGAAACTTCTACACCCTATATCTCCGAAACTAAGCATTTTAGGACATACATTTAGACGAACTTTTTTACTTATTTTTATGTGCAGAATATGCTGCCGAAGTGTCCGGAATACAGTTCGGACCACCCTGTATATTATTAACATTAGATCATTACATATCTATTTGCTACAACCAGAGTTATTAAACTACACGTAGTAATTAATAAACTACATTTACTACATGACACAAGTAGTTTTTTAAATGTCGAGTAGTAAATGTGTAGTTTATGTAACTACATTTTAAATAACAGTGAAAACATAACCTAAAAACTTTGTTTGTTGATTAATTTAAAGAAATAAAAAATCTATATTTTGAGAATTTGTTCCTTATTATGTGATATTTTTGATACTTAGATGTCTTTGTTTGAAGACGTCGATGTCTCCAGTCTCCATACCTTGCTCCATACCTTCTGGGAAGAGAGGAATTATGAAGTTGTGCCTTTTGCTTTAGATGTAAAAAATCATATATTCTCCTGGAGAATGTCTATGGAGAATTTCTCCATAAGAATTTATAGTTTATTTTGTGTTCAATGTTACTTTGTATTTCGTAGAAAATACACTTTTGTTGAAAAAAAAACTCTTTTTTTCTGATGTTGTTTAACTTATACAAATATAATATAACTTCATACTTCCATGATAAGAATTTGGCTTGATTTTTGTCTAAATTATCTATGTTTTACTTATTTTTGTAGGTAGTTTTTAACGTAGTTTTTGTGTAGTTTTTGAAGGTAGTTTTTAAAATTTTAAAACGTAGTTAATACAAAAAACTACGCATAGTGTCTGGCGTAGTTTTTTGCTTCATAAACTACTTAACAACCCTGGCTACAACCCAACCTAACAGTCCTTGGTTGAAAAATCGACCACCACCCCTTATTTGTAAACTTTTTGAAAAATGTTATTAAGAAGATATGCTCCATTTGTTCTAGTTTATATATTTTTGTAGTCCATTTGATCGAACTAGAAAATAATTAGTACTGTCCTATAAAGACCGGTGGTTCCGTATAAAGTCTATGTGTTTTATGATTTAATTACAAATGTATAGTACTTGTAGTATAAGGCGGTATTACTTGCCAAATTTTATAGTTCTAGAGGTCAACGGAAAATACCCTATAAATTCTGATTTCCCCGAAAGTGTGGAAATGTACATTTTTTGCAGCTTAAACGGCCGTATCTTATTTTTACGTTAACTTAGAAGTTTCACTTTTTCACAGCTTCAATGGAGAAGTGCACTGTAGAAGTGTAGACCTGAGTATATGGTATTAATTTCAACTATAAAGGGTCTTGACAGACAGACGGGTGGACAATGTAGTGGTCCTATAAGGATAAAGTTTTTTCCTTTTGAGGTACAGAACGTTAAAAATGAACAGAAACAACACTCGCTATACGCTGGTCTTAATTTTAATAATCAGTATTGTTACAAATCAATTTTACAGCACAAAGAATTCAAGGATATAATTTAAAGAAATAGGCGATAGAACAACAACTCTTTCGCTCCACATTCTTTTCCCGGTATCGTTAAAATCAATCGATTTAACCCCATTCGGCCGCCCCATCGATACACGGAAAATTATACACCACCACGCACACACACGACACATAGACAGACAACACACCTCCACCACCACCATAGCCTACCGCGGCATTCACCCCATGGAAAATCGTGGAAATCCAGCGGGCCGGGTCGTCAGTCCACTACATGGAAACATGGGTTGCAGTGCGGCGAAAAACGTCACCGCGCTCGAACAAGCGGACAATGGAAGAAAACACGCGAATCCTAATCAAGTAGGCGATGCCGCCAGGTAAATGCTCGCCGGGCGATTGTCCTCTTTTTTTTCTCCGCTCTTCTTCTGCTTTTGTTTCGTTTGTTTGTCGCTTTTGTTTCGGTAGTTGCTCGTTCTTTTGTTTTCTTATGCTATATGTATAGATTTGCGACTGTTTTACTTTTTTTATTCGTTTTTTTTTCTCGTATATGAATAAAACAAATGAAGTACAGGTGGAAGCTGGAAGCGTACAGCAAGAATGTAGTGATAGATAGTTGGGATCGAGTGAATACACACAATCGAAAAAATCAGCGCATAGCGCCATATCAGAGTTGCCACCTTTTGTATTTAAACAATGGAGACAACACTAGTGCAACCTTTTTTCTTAAATGTAAAATTTTATGTGCCCATCGGATTTTGAAACAATATATTATGCCTTTTTGCGTTAACTTAAAAAAACTATTCAAAATTTATAAATAATTATGTAAAAATAAAAGATGAAAAGTTGAAAACAAAATTAGTAAACAATCAATTAAATCTAAAATATCTAGAACAAATCTTAAACAAAATTAAAAGTTTGAGCTGTATAATCTGCATAATTGGCTTTATTAGTTTATTTAATTATTTTTAAATGAACATTTTTTGGCAAAATAAAACACTAATTTACCACAATACACCAAAACACTTTAAAATATAACAAAGTTAGTATACACAAGCATAAAAAAGTCTTAACCTCTACAAGTGCGCTAATTTCCATTAAACGCTTTACTGTTAACACTGAACGCGCGTTTCGTTAACCAGCTTAGCTCAGCAGATGATGAAAACTGATGGTTAGCTTCAAATTTATGATTAGCCAAAGAGTTTTGGTGTATTGCGGTGAATTAGTGTTTTATTGTGTAACACTAAAGGTTCCCACCCTCGACTGTAATGAATATTTTTTATTTGTTTTGTTGCTGTAATAATACGAGCCTTGTCATTTTTAATAAGATCCTTAAAATTCTTATATGCGATAAATATAGTAAAATTAAATGAGATTTGAAGTTCCGTTCTAATGAGCTTAACTGAACATCTATTTCTAGCGTCTGTCTACTTCAACATCATACGTGAAAATATATAAATAACAACATTAAACAATGAAGGCATACACTTTCTAGTGTTTAAAATACTTTATTTTTTATCTATAAGTTTTATATCCTTTTTGACAAATTTCCTATATACGCAAGTTTTCATTAAACAGAATATCAATATCTACTTCTTTTAATTCTAAAATTTCTAAGACTTCAATTATTTCGTGTAAAAGAACTGTTTTTAAATTCAAAAAATTAATAAACATGTATTTTTAATAATAAATTTTACAATTTTATTGTTTAATAAAAACGTGGCTACTATACTAATAAAAATCGGGACATTAGGGCTTTATGTGGGACTCTTGGATCATAATCGGGACTGTCCCGACAAAATCCGGACGGGTGGTAACCCTGCGCCATATAGTGGCTTTTAAAAGACGCGTTTTTACCTTGTGTCTAAATAACAATTGTCATAAACTAATTTTTAAATGTGTTATTTTAGCGGGCTGAGCAGTTCAATCAACGAACTAATCGAATCACATATTGAGGATTTGGAAAATGCCAACGTGGATAATATTCAAAAAGGAGGTAAATGTTTTAACAGTAGTTGCATATACATATACAGGGTGGCCCATTAGTGCGAGGAAGTCCAATATCATCGTTGAATATCGAAGATATAAAAAAAAAGTTTAATACAAATGTTGCATGGTTTATAATGAAGCATATCCTAAAAATGTTTTGTTGTATACAGGGTGTTACAAAAAAGTTATGATAATTAGGAACACTTTAAATACAAAAAATGTTCAATTTTTAATTCTGCATTCTTAAAGAAAAATAATATACAGGTTGTTGTATTTAAAAAAAATTGAGATTATAACAATTTAAATATTGGGATGTGGGCGACACCATAAAAATTAACCTGTATTAGATAATGTAAATTTTTCTTCGCGGGTTTATTCTGTTATCATTGGTGTTTAGGAAAGTATAATTAAGTATTAAAAAAATTAAACTCACTCCAGTTTTTAACCACTTTTCCGATATAGTATTTTTAACCAAAATTTTAGTAAATGAGAAATAGAATGGCGACACGGCATAGTGCTTCAAATAAAAATGGCCTACTAGATGCAGAATTTTAAGTTGAATCTAGTTATCTACAGAAAAATGGGGGTGCAATTTAAAAAAAAAACATAAAACTTTATCATAACTTTTTTTGTGACACCCTGTATACAACAAAATATTTTTAGGGTATGCTTTTTTCATATCTTCGACAATGACGACGATATTGGACTTCCTCGCACTAATGGGCCACCCTGTATGCATATTCCGCGGGCAATATACAGGGTGGTCCGAACTATATTCCGGAAACTTCGTGCAATATCTGCCATATTCTGCAGACAAAAATAAGTAAAAAAGTTCGTATAAATATATGTAATAAAATACTTTGTTTTGGAGGTACAGGATGTAGAAGTTTCATTTTTATTTCGATTTTTTCTAAATAATTTTTGAAGTAACGTCAATATTTGGATAAAAATTGGTGTCTGGGAGTTTTGTGTCACGAGAAATTTGATTTTGATGTCAAAATGACTCCAATTTGTAGGGGGCGCCACCTACATGCGTTTTGACTGTTTTGAAGAGTAATAACTTTTTGTCCGTACCTGTATAAAACTGCCGACTAAAAAAATATTCATTTCCATAACTTTTTACGTAAAAAATGTCTCTTCGTAAAAATGGCTACGAGCAACCGTTCTCAAGATATTTAAAATGGAAATAGTCAATACATGCCATTATTGACAAAAAATAGGCACACGTTGAGTATAGTTGTTTGACTGAAATAAAAAAAAATATTTTTAAATTAATCATAAATTTTTCTGCGAAAAAATGATAATTAAACAGTTTCTGTTGAACTTTTGGCACAAAAAAATTAAAATTTATGGTTTCAGTCTCAAAGTTTCAGTCTAATAACTATTTAGTCAACATGTATAATTTATGTCAATGATGACAAGTATTGATAATTTCAATTCCAAATATCTCGAGAACCATTACTCGTAGCGATTTTTACCAAGAGACCTTTTTTATGTAACAAAAGCTGTAAATATATATTTTTTTATTCAGTAGTTTTGTACAGGTATGGACGAAAAGTTATTGCTCTTCAAACCAGTTTAAACATATGTAGGTGGCGCCCTCTATAAGTAGGAGTCATATTGACATGAAAACCAAATTTCTCACGTCAAAAAACTCCCAGACACCAATTTTCATCCAAATATTGATATTACTTCATAAATTATTTGGAAAAAATCGAAATAAAAATGAAACTTCTACACCCTGTATCACCGAAACTAAGCATTTTAGGACATACATTTATACGGACGTTTTTACTTATTTTAATCTGAAGAATATGCTGCCGAAGTTTCCGGAATACAGTTCGGACCAACCTGTATATCAAATGCAAGTCCAAGAGTAAGAATCCTTTGGTCGTTCGAGTCTATGACCTTGCAAGGTCCAATCTTGGTGTGGTTCTTGGTCTTGCTGCAAGACTCTTGCAACTTTTTTAAAAAGATTCTACCAGAGGTATTTTCTACAATTATTTTATAAAAATATTTTTAATTATCTTAAAATTTATATAACGGTCTCTAATGGACAAACGAAGCACAATTTAATCTACTTTTTTCTAAACCTCTTAGCGACTGGATTGGCCTTTGACATAACATTTGAAGAGAATGACAATATCGATGAATCCGTCCAAAAACAGCCACCTAAAAGGTTGCTAGAGATGCAAGATACCCAAAGTAGTCCAGTCACATTACAGAAACTACAAGAAAAGCTAGACGAAGCTGAGATTAGAAGACAACAGGTAGGAAATACACACATGGCCAAAATTATTGCATATAACGATATTTTTATTTTATTTTGGACCTAATATGATTCTTTTTATATTTTTGGACATATTGGCTTACTACACATTGACTAACTAATGTAAAATTAAAAATCTAAGTGCAACTAGGCTGTTATTATAATTTTATTTCATAATGAGTGAAAATCAACAAAAACAAATTTCATTTTAAACAGAAAATATTGAAAACAATTTTAAATATTTCTCACAACTAATAGTCTGTATTGCCTCCTCGAGCCTCAATGCAAGCTGATGTGAGACGACGTGACATGCTCTCAATTAAGTTGTCCAGAAGATGTTGAGGAACGGTTTCCCATGTTTCGCGCGCAGCAATTTTCAATTCATTTAAGGTACGGGGGATCATTCCTTTTGCCAATATGGCGTTTTAGCATCCCAAGTAGCATTTTCACGACTTGCGACCACATGTTTACTAAACACAAAGTTGGATTAGTTACAAAAAATAGTTAGCTCCCTACCTTGGGTATTAAAATAAATTTAAACGTTTTTATAACGTTGTGCCGACGTTGGACTAGTACTACAGCAAAGTAGAAGCTTCTGCGACGTCGAATAAACGATGTCTTGTAACCTTTTTTGCTTAAGTGATCTTTAGGTGATTCGGACAACGTAGTTACAACGTTGGACAATATAGAGTTTTCCGACGTCAGTTTCAGGACCTATTCCAACGTTATGCAAACGTCGTCTGTTTTACTAATTCCAACGTTGTTTAGATTTCCTTATTCTTACGTTGATAGGACGTCGAGTCACTACCTTTTTGCAACTGTATTGAACCATAACCTTAAATCTTAAATTTTCACTTCATTGTTCTGTTCAGTCAGACAGTTCAGTGCTGTTTTTGTTTTTATAAAAAAAACTTAATTAAAATGGGACATAAGAAAGGTACATATAAAACTAAATTTAAATATACATCGACATATATTACCGATAGTTTATCCACTCCCTCGTTTATTTAGATTATAGAAGGCGGCACAAGCTAGATTCTAGGATGACTAAATTAGGCAATCTTGCGACTAGTATACTACCTGTTAAGGCCGAACTGCGACTTTATTAGTCCAGTATGCGACTACTCGAACTACTCCATCTTAATCTCCCAAAACAACAAAGTGAATACCGCCATGTTGTTAAATAAGAAAACGTTTCGTTCCTAAAATAGCAATTCCTGCTTTTTGAACACATTAACTTGAAATATTTGACCCTAAATATTACGCGGAAACAATTTTTTCGACTGCGAATAAATTATTCTCATTTTACTAAAAAAAAAATTCAAGAAAATTCTTAAAACTTCTTTAATTTTAAGGCCCATTAGTATTTTTCAAAGTAGAAACAATACATTTATCAATAAAGTTGTTTGCGTTTAACTTTTTTGCCTTGAGTAACGAGTTACAGAGTCGGTTAAAGTGTTTCAATAATTATGATCTTCAAACATCCTCCACACTTAAATACTTTTGTTTTGTCTTCCTTCACTGCCATCTGACATATGTCTCTACCTAAATCATAAAATAATATTTTTACTATAATTATCCCAATTTAGGATAAAACGCGACTTAGACGCCATATTAGTTTTGTATTTCTGTGAATTAGGATTTTAAACAACGTTGCAGTTTGTACTAAATTAGGCTTCTAGCCAACGTCGGTATCCAACGTCGTTTCGACCCAAAAATTATTCTCCAAACTAGTGCAGACTAGGATTGGCACGAGGTTGTGCCGACGTTGCGCCCCGACGTTTGGTCGCGTGACACAACGTTGTCCCGACGTCCAAATGCTGCTTGGGATGTCTTAAGCATGCTCGATCACATTCATCACATTCATATCTGGAGACATCGGTAGCCACTACAGTTTTCTTATATACCCTCTTCCTCACAAAATTCGCGAACCGCTAAAGTGCGATGGAGAGGAGCATTATTGTCCATGTAAACAAATTCATCCCCCACTGCCCCTCGAAATGGACGCACAATAGGCTCTAAATCGTCTCTAAGATATGAGGCACCTATCATTGTGCCATCAATAAAAACAAGAGAGTTCGAGCTCCGTGCATTATACCTGCCCATACCATAATGCTTCCCCCTTGAAACGAAACACGGGGTTGAGCTGCATTCAAGCGTACTCGTCTTGCAGATGCTCTCCAGACCAAAGTTCGTCGCGAGTCTGACACTAGGCCTATTCTTGTTTTATCACGAAACATGACGAAAGTCCAATTAGGTCCGTTTGCTCTCATCTTCTCAGCCCATTGTAGTCGCGTAATTTTGTGCTGTAAATTAAGCTTCGGCACATGTACAGGCCTCCTTAAATGTAATCCTCTGTCATGGAGTCTTCTTGCTATGGTCTTTCTTGAAATATTTACTCCTTCAAGGCGAGCTAACTCATTTTTAATAGCAGTATGTACTAAAAAGCAGGGGATTGCAATTAGGGATATTTGACGGTCTCGCACAGCAGTAGTAACTCTCTTTCTACCTCGTCCAGGCCGGTCTGTAACCTCGTTTCTCTCCCTGAATTTTTGCGAAACATTAACTCCTACAATTTCAGCTATTGCAACTTGCCGGTAGCCCTGTTGAGACAGTGTCACTAATCTGACTCTATTAAACTGTGAAATAATGTTTCTAGGTATTTTAGGCCAAAACAATGGTCAAATTTCTTCTGAAACCCAAGAGACCACAAATTGAAATGTGCAAGAATTTGTAAACTTTAGTGGTGGAAATCTAACTGTTACGCTCAGTTGGCTCTGACTCAGTTAGCAAGATTTTGCCACGCCCACTCGGTGCCCACTGAGCGAGTATATAAACGCTCAACTTGTAGATTGTGCTTTAGTTTATAATCATCTGCTGATGATGCTAACATGGTTAGCGAAACGCGCGTCCAGTGTAAAAGTAAAAGTGTTATGGTGTATTGTGGTGATTTAGTGTTTTTATTTTGCTGTGTAACACCAAAGGTTCCAACCCTCAACTGTAATCAAGAATTTGTAATAATATTCGGTCTGAACGATAAACATTGTTTACCATAACCATTTTAACAAAAAAATGTTTATTACAGATTATCAGAGCTATGTATAAAAAAATTCTTTAAATTCCTTTTCCTATATTTTTAAACCATAATATGTGCAATAATTTTGGCCATGTGTGTAGGTGTATAGTACTTTCAAAGTCAGTTGGATTGGTATGAGTCTGTTAATTTGTGGACTGCCTTTGTCGGCATCATCTGCACAAACAAATTAAGTGTCACAAACTAGTCAATTTGACTTTGGAAGTATTATATCTATAATTCCCGTGTCACAGTTTTAGTTTTATTTCACCCCCCATCACTCTTCTTCCATGAACCCCTATTTTTTTTAATAGCAATATTAGTAATTCAATAATTTTGAACCCCGTGAATAAAAATTACTGTTGTCCTATAAAAAATACTTTATGGCAAAACAACGTTTGCCGGGTTAGCCCTCTTTGTATATTTTTTTTCTTAATATTAGGTCTAAATGGTTTTAAAATTAGGTTCTGACTAGATTAGTTTGTGGTTCTGATTAGGATGAAGGTCTTGCTGTTTCTCCAGTGGATGCTCTAGCTCTACTGCTTTTCCCTTATCCAAAGTTTTACTGCATTACGGGTCATACCAATATATGAACCGTTTTTTATTGTTCCCGACAACCTTGTATATATTGGACCAACACTGCTAGAAGCAGTATAGATATTTATAAACTACAATCCTCATTATTATGAAATATATATAGTAATTTCGTAGTTACAAGAGTACTAGTAGCTTTACTTATTCAAACACTGGTCAACTAAATTATGTTTTATGCCTCACGGTAGTAGACCCAGGTTCCAAGTTTGAATCACCCCGTACAAAAATAATTGTTTGTCCTATACAGGGTGGTCTTATATAAGTGCAAATATTTTCAGGGGTGATATATTTCGACCCCAAGGACCCGTCTATGAAGATTTTTTTGCAAAAAAAAATGTTGAAAATCGTGCATTTGTGCATTTTCTTTTAAATTTTCCTGTATATTTTAGAAAACTTTTTAGAACTACCTCTTCACTGTAAATTTCACCACGGTATAATTTTTTAATCTCTGATATTACCATGGTTACGGCACTAAAGGTATGCAAATACAGAAAAAACCCGGTGTCTCAATTTTTTTTAAAAATAAGTTATGTTTTTTTTAATTTCAAACTTGAATAACTTGGTTGTTTTAAACTTATTTGAAAAACGGTAAAGAGAAAATATGATATCTTTTATCGAGATCTACCAGCCCTGAAAATATTTGCACTTATTTAAAACTCATCCTGTATATTTTTGTTGTACAGATTCTTCAGCAACGAGTAGAGTCTGCCAAACGAATCAGACCAAAGTTTCACTATGTACCAAAGGAGGAATCACAATCACCGAATCATTTGAATGTACCCAGTATACCAACTGAAGAATCGCCTGTTCCTTCAGGACCATAGTTAGTACTAATCTCTATATACTCAAGAGGTTTAACACTTTTTGTTATAATTTGCCTAAAATTTCGGGGGATCTCAATATAAAATAATAATTTTTAAAACAAAAAATACTTAAATACATATATTAATGACAATCAGTCTTAAAGATGTTTAACTCTGTTAATTTTGGGCAAATTTTATTAAAACTTCCAATATATTTTATTGTTTTCTATTTTATAACAACTTTTTTATGTTGCTAAATAAAATTTAGTTAAAGTGTGTGTATTTAATTAGTAAATCTATATAGTCTGTCCCTCCGGAGAATTCATACAATTAATTACATTTCAACCCATTCGTTGTCTCAGAAATGAAAGAAAAACAAAATAGAGCAATAAAAAAATATTTTTTTTTATTTCTTTCTGTGATACTCATCAATCAGATCAATTAATTTATAATAAACCATGTCATTTACTTTGGTACTGATAATAAAATCGCCATGATTGAATTCGTTGTCAGGCACTTTATGTTTTAATATAACATTCGGTATTTTCTTCAGCGCGTGATAGAGTTTCTGAAAAAAAAAGAGAATTTAAAATATATCGTCCCATAGCTGCCAAAAGTTACTAACATTTTTCCGAACAACCAAATTCAATCACTAACTATGTTTTGAAGCGGAGTATCGATTGCAAAAGTCATTAACTACGATTTCTGGCTATTTATGTTTTATTTTAACACCGAATAGTTACTAACTATAACATCTTTATGCAATGCAATTCATCTTTAGACGCATTTTTCTCGGAAGTAATAAAAAGTAAGTTAGTGACTTCTGGCAGCAATGGGACGATATTATCATTTTTAAATAATTATATCATCTCAAACAGCGACATCTTTTAATGAATTCGGAATAATATAATTTAAAATTTATCCTTGTGGCGCCATCTCATGATGCATCGCAGATATACAAAGTAGAAAACTGTATTTTCAATTTTGAATGTACTTAGATTTACTGCTTATAGATGCCACAATGCTTTTTAAAAGTTATTGGAGTGTTATTCATGCATATGAAGCGTTTAAAATTATATTTTATCGACTAATGGGATAAAATAATTTTATTCCACTAGTAGAATAAACACACCCTTTTTCGTAATGTTCCCTAGACTTCGCAGGCAGTAAGTGGATAGCTAAGTAAACGTAAATATAGTTCAAATCAAATAAACTTTTAGTCACGTGATTAAGCTTGACTGGCACAGCATTGTCCACTTTTACATATTTTCTTTTAATCAAAATATTAATATTTTAGGAAACAGAAATAAATTAATTATAAATATATAAACATTATTTACATCAACAAAACTCCCCTTCTTAACACAAAGGACATAAAGAGCCATTTCTACCGCTTTCCCGTTCAAAATAATCTAATAATGTTGCGATGAGTTTTTACGGTTATTAAGCTATCTTGTTTACTTCGCACTAAAAAAGGTTCTAAAAAACAATGTTCCACTGGAAGGTCTACTAGTAAAAAAAATTAAGTTAAAGTATTATAACACAATTCACTTAAACCAAAATCTCGTAATACAAAACTAAAGTGTCAAAACGAATGACAATGTCAGGAATAAATCTTAGAATAAATAAATTGGCATTTTGACATTTTTTACAGCACAGCATTTTTTTACCACTGCGGGAAATTGAAATTCCAGTTAGTCAGTCCGACGCTGAATATATCCGTGGTTGGCAACAATGAATTTAAAAATCCCGCCCTCGATTACGTAAGTAAAACTTTAATTGGTATCGCTTATAGTTACTATTTACTATAATAACAAACTTAATTCGATTTTTAAAAATAATGCTCGCTGCTAATTATTCCTAGCAATTTTTTATAATTTTAAGTAAATATGCCACGTGTTTGTGGATAAAACTTTGTATTACAATAGTGTTTTAGTTGCATTTTTATCCACTTAAAAAAATTACGTTCACGCGTTTGCAACATATTCTTGCGTGGATAGAATACTAACTAAAACACTTATGTAATAAATGATAATTATTGTTTAAAATGTGATTATAATTATACCTCTATATTAATCAGTTCATCCCCTCTACTGTAATAGAGTGCTACAGGAGCTGTTGATTTTGATATATCGTACAATGGCGGACTAGGATTATTATATCTTGCTTGATTTTGATCGTAGTGATCATACTGGCTAAAGTTTCCTGTAAAATAGAAACATTTAGTCATAGATACATTTAATTTGTTTATTTCTTTATACCTGATTTTCTTCCTTGTACGAAATGTAGGAATTGCTTTACAGAAGCCCCAGAAGGGTACAAAGTGAGCGTAAAAGGTAAAATATCCTAAAAAATAGTTGTATTATACAAGATGGCCCACTAACAAAATGCTCAAATATTAACAAGAAGAGGCGTTATCGATATCGATGACCAATTCACGCAGTTATTTCATATATTTTTTTATAAATAGGAAACGCTTTTAGGGTTGGAGTGTGGGGATCTCCCTCACTGCGAGAGGGCTACCTACTAAAAACCCATCTGTGCTCTAAACTCGCCAATCTCGGTACCGCCGAAAGCATTTCATCGAGATTAGAGACTTATCTATTCTTCTATGGGGGTTGCTTTGTACCCAAACCTTGTCTTTTTCATTCTTCTCCTTTTTCTTCATGATGTTACTGAACATCCCGTAAATTGCTTCGATCGCTCGATAATGTCAGAAAGTTTCCGACGTTTTCTCTAGTGATCTTCGTACCACATACTGTTTCTGTGTTTTCCCTTATGGTTTTCCCTTATATCGACGTGCGCTTAGCACTCAAATAGTGTATGGTTGGCCGAGTCTGACGCCTCGTAATACCAGCATCACCAGCATGTAGGAGAATCCGCCTTGCAGATACTCGCCAAAGACTCCATGGCCAGTCATAGCTTGCGTGATGTTGTAGTACGGATTTGCCTGGTCGCAGTTTATCCAATCTTTGATATTGGGTATGAAAGCCTTTGTCTACCGGCATATGCTTCCCATCGTGTCTGCCATCGCTGTAGTACAATGCTCCCGGCCTCTTGACGGAAGGAAGTTCCGGTTTTATATATTTGGTTTCTTTCCTCGATCATTAGACTGATCGGAGATATCTTAGCAAGACACAGTACCGCTATTGTTGGGCATGTGCAGTATACCGATGCAACCCTGAGTGCTAACTTCCTGTTTATCCTTTCTAGCATGTTTTCGTAATGTTTGAAGCGCATGGATCTGTCCCAGATTGGTGATGCGTAGAGTACGGTCGAATGAACTACCGAAGCCAGAAGTCTTCTTTTCTGAGCGCGAAGTCGTCCGTTATTGGGAGTGATTCTCGTCAGATGCTGGATGATGCCAGTCGTTTTATTCCTGATCTCTGTGATGTGTGAGGTCATTCGCATGCCCGAGTCGAACCAAATCCCCATGTATTTAACCTTCTTTTGAGGTCTTATAACTAAGTTATCAAGCTTTATGCCCTAAGTGGTATTAGTTTGTAGATAAATTTATTGGCATTATCTTTTATTATTTTAATTGCTTATATTCTTCGTTTAGGTGAGTTTATACCGGAGTAAATCAAAACGTTGGTTTTTACAATAAACTTAAAACACCCTGTGGAAAAAATGAGACGGGCATTTTGGGTAAAAAAACACTTTCCTGTAATCTAAATGGCATTCCTGTATTTTTTCCATAGGGTGTTTTGAAACTTAGTCAAAATTTTAAGGTGGCGACATTTTATGCCCCGGGGAGTTTATAAAAGGTTAAAATAAAAAAAAACTCTTGAAACTTACATAATCAACATCGTTTGTAGAAAGTCCCATGAAATATTTCCCTATAAAATGTATGCAGAACCAGTTTGCGATTTTATGAGGACCTATGCAAATATATCTTAATACTTCAGTAGAAAAATGGTTCCTATTAAACAACTCGTTTATATTAAATATTCTCATTAAGGGCTAAAAATAAAGAGAAATTATTTTCTACGAATAAAAAGAGAAAAGAGTAAGTTTAACAAAAAAACGGTGTCAAAGACGACTTGGGAACGACAAAATCGATGATAATTTTGGCGAGGTCAACCCCTAGAAGTCATTTATTTGGTCCGTACTCTTCTTTGTTTTTTTTAATGAAGTTTTTTGCCAGTTGGTCTTAAGTAGGTTGTAATATATTTTTATATTGATTAAAAATCATTTTTAAATGGTATAGTTTAAAATTCTGTTTTCTTAAATACATTATGTGTTTTCTAAATAAAAGCTTTAACTTATTATAACCTCACCTCATACTTTTGACATTTGAAAGTTACATACATATGTTACATAAACTACACCCTCTACATAAACTAGTTTTTAAAAGTAACATGTAGTTTTCCGAACCCTGATTAAAAGTACGAAAATATATTATTAAACTCACATAAAATGTCAAATTCAACGAGCGTAACCATATTTTCTCGATATATAATATATAATTTCTGACAAGGTACCTATTACTTTTAAATATTTTTTTATATTATTTTGAACGTTTGGAATTGTTTAAAAACTTATTTGTGGCGTTTGAAAAAAAATAGCATGTTCTATTCGGAGTAAAAATGACTTTTTGTGCCTCGCCTGTATGTCAAACGTACAATCTCACGCAGGAAGTGTTATTTTTACTCTTAATAAAACAATATACTATTTTTTGGAAATAGATTTGTATGTCTGAAAACGGGGGTTCTATCCTTTTTTAATATTTTTATAATTACTAGTACTAATTTTTGACCAGTTTCATACCAATTTTTAGTAAATGGCATTTAGAGATTGACCTCGCCGAAATTATTATCGTTTGCCATTTTGTTTTATTTTTATCATACGGGTTATCTTTAGTACTAACTTCTATAGCAAAATTTCCTAGGTCCCACAACCAAAACAAGTAGTTTTTCGTGTTGTAGAATGTGAACACTGGAGCCAGGAGATTGGCTACTTTTATTTTCTTGTTGTATTCCGGTTTTTCTGACGTCATGATGAAGTAAGTCAAAGATCCCTGTGACATTCCCACGTAAGTCAGTTTGGAAAATTTTGTTTTGTTGATCACGTGGTCGATCATGGTGGGAATATCGTACATGGCTATCTCGTGATAACTAGAAATAGATTTTTTTTCAAACGTCACAAAAGTATACATTTTTGCGTCCGTAATTGACAATATATAAAAGTCATTTTAACACCTAGGTATAAAAGTAAAGCAAATTACAAAAATACATATTTTTTTAAATTATCGAAATCAACTAACTCGGTGGTTTTGGACTTTTTTGAAAAACGCAAAGAGAAAATATGTTTCTTTTATCCAGATCTCCAGCCCTGTGAAATTATTTGCATTTATTTAAGACTCACCCACTCACCCTGTATATGCAAAGATTGGAACATGGCAAAAACAAATAATTTCATGTACCTGAAATCCCAGAACGCTGCATCCAGATCTGCTTCCAGCATGATATGGTTTCTGGAATAAGTGTTGCCTCTTTGGTTACCTAACCACACATCGTATCCTTTATCGGCCAGTTGGAAGGCCAAACCTTTTCCCGGGCCTCCACATATGAAATCACCTGAACTTCCTAAATAGATGTTTTAGAAATATCGTATAATCGAAAAAAAGGCGTCAAAGACGGCTGGGGACACATATCATATATCAACTTTTCAGATTTTCCTTTAAAAAATCGTATTTTAAATTTCAATTCAGAATGGCTGCGTTAAAAACACTAAATGTTAACCAAGGAGCCTTGGACAAATAGATCTGATCGCCTAATGCTTTTCGTGTCTTGTCCTGGTCGGTTAAAAGAAATCGTATTTTTCATCATATCTTATTTTTTTCAAATGAAACAAGGGTGGCTCATTGGCATATTTGGAAAAAGATTTTTTTACGAATAATTTGGTACCACACACTTGGTATTTCGCAAGAACAGTTAACCTAATAGGACTGCTCATTCAGCCAAAAGTGTCCGCCAGATGCATGCGAAAACTACTCGCTTTGTGACGTCATTGTAGTCCTTGTCATGGTTATTAGTCCTTATCCGGCAACCAATAATACACACGCGTGCATTATTGGTTGCCGAATGCAAAACTTTCATTATTTAGTTTATTTGTTTAAATACCTTATATGTATGCAGTATAGAAAATTAACTGTATAAATCGTATTAAATACTCGAATAATGCATTTTTAAGAACAGCAGTCACCTTTTGCAAGCATTCTTTTTAGAGTACTTTCATATTTTGCTTTAAAATAATTAATAAACAAAATCGTGGGCACTTAGTATGCACTTTGTCATAATCCACAACACAAAATGAACGTATTTATACACTCTATAGCTCTAAAAACTTACAGACAAACCTAAAGACACCTTTTTCACATTTAAAATTGACAAAATAATTACCTCAAAATTTCTCAGCTGTTATTTTTATAAGTTTACCATAGGCAACTAATAATACACACTATCATGACAAGGCCACGAAGGCTTTGACAAGGACTACAATGACGTCACAACTGTCAGCTGAAGCGCGGGAAGAGGCGAACGTACGTCTTATGAGGATGAGCAATCCTATTAGTTTACCGTTCTTGGGTATTTCGAGTCAATTTGCCAATATGAACTGTATGTTACAATTTCAAATAACCATATGCAAAAATGTCAATCTATTCAGAGTGTCATTTTCTATCGAATAAAATAAAAAAATACCGAGAGTGTCATTTAAAAATCAAAAGTTGTAGTCATTTCCGGTGAAACATGAAGTGATCAAAAACAATTAAATATGTCAATCAATCCTAATTTATGTCATATACTAACATACGAAATCTCGTTTTTTTTATCTGAAGAAATAAAAAAGTTATAAGGGTGAGCCACTTTTGAGACGCACCCGGTATAAAAATCAATTACTACAACCTTTTTAAGGCCAAGAGTACAGGCCAAGTAAATGAGGTCTAGGGCTTGACTTCGTCAAAATTATCATCGATTGTAATTTCCCATCCGTTTCTGACGCCGTTTTTTTTAGTATGGTTGATCTGGACAAGATAATAATATTTTTCTATTCGTCATTTTTTAAGGTAACTTAGAAATATCCAATTATGCATGTAAACCCACACTAAGAATTGGAATATTACCGGTAAGTCCGTGCATGAAGAAAACAGGCGGTTTCTTTGTGAGATTGGCATATTTCTTCACTTTAATTCTGTGTAACGATAAAATATATCCATCTTCAGTGACAGCTGTCTCGGTGTCTAACGTGTAATTGTGCTTTTCACAAAAGTCAGACTGAAATTATAAATATATAGCGAATATATGTCATATTTATACAGTAGTTTTCTGTTTTTATTTAACATGACGGCGCGCGGCGTCAGCGATGGCTATGAAATGACGATCGATGATATTTCCCATATAATTTTACATATAAAATGACAGCGATCTTCATTTCATAGCCATCGCTGACGACGTTTTTATTCGATCATACGGTATTATTTCGGTCGTTTTATGGCAAAAGGTGCCATGTCGAAATTTTGGTTTTTCACTTGTTACATAATATAATATGGCAATAAGTTCTATGATCCATAAAAATCATATGTTTACATGTGGCTTAAAAAGCCAAATGGAACCTTTTTTAAGCGAAATGGAACCATATGATTTTTATAGAATTCGAAATTTAGGCGAAAACACGTTTATCGTGTTACAATAATATCGCAATAAGATTTCGACATAGTACCTTTTGCAATAAAACCACCAATTTTATGGTAATCACCGTGGTTTTAGATTACAATCTAAACAATCTCAAATACTAGTCTTTACTAGTCTCAATAAAAATAATAAAGCAAATTATGTTTTTTAAGTAAATCCAACGCATTTATACTCAAAATACAAATTTTGAAAGATCTCACGTGATATTTGAAGGAGTGTCGAGACTGTCGAGACAAATTTCACGACATCTCACCAGTAGGGGAGAGGGGAGAGATTAAAAAGTCCTTAAAAACACCTCACATAATAATTAATAAACACTACTGTATATAGACAGCATATTTTCTTAAAAATATTCGAATAAAAACCTTAAATATAAAACCAAATATGAAGCGTTTTTGTGTCACCCTGTATAATTTATCTATTTTTTACTACTTACAATTGAAAGTCCTACATTAGGTGCGTCTAAAGGTTTCTTCCCGATCAAAATGGCGATGGTTGTAAAAAATACAAAAGAAATACCAAATATAATTATGGATAATACTCTGTAACAATAGAAAATGACGTTTAATTTATTACATTTTTGCTATACAAGCATTACCAATGACAATTAAAAATGTACAAAATAATAGTACAGTAAACGCCACGAATGTTTGGGAGTGATTCATTACTTGATGAAGTTAAAATCGACACGCGCGCTATCATTTTTATATTAAAAACGTAAATTTTTACCGCAGACGTAGGTTTTTAAAGACCCGATCTAATCATCTGCCTGCGCTCCTCCTACTTATTCTAAAATGTTAGCGTGATTGAGAAAGACGATACTATATCGCGTTTCTTTGATTGATTCGTTTTTGTGCGTCAGTCCATTTGTGTGCTTGCAGTGCGACCAATGGGGCATTCTAGTTTATATTTATAACCAAATATATGTTTTGACAAGACTTTGACAATTAAAACAACAGATTATATATTGATTATTATATGACTTGAAACACCACGGCACTGGAATTAAGTTTTATGTAACCTTGAACAGATTAGTTCACATGGTAGCGACCGATGAATCACTCGTGGAAACTCCAAACATTCGTGGCGCTTACTATACAAAGTTAGTACTATAGGAAAGAAACATTACTTCAAACAATATTTTTCTATAATAAAAAGTGCCACTGGCTTTTCTTGCAATTTATATATATTTTTTTATATAAAGCAACTAAAAATACAACTTTTATTTTCTCATGTAGTATATGCTTATCTAGAACTACCGTATAATCGAAAAAAAACGGCATCCAGTTGACTTGAAAATGAACATCGATGACATTCCCTATATAATTTTACATATAAAATGACAGCGATCTTCGTTTCATAGCCATCGCTGTTGCCGTTTTTTTTTTGACCATAGAAAAAAATAAAACCAATTGACTGCGGGTCTCTGAACCCCATTTAAAAAAAATATTTCAATTTGTAATTATAGTATTGGTAAAGTATTTAAATACTTGAAAACAAAACACGCTACCTATAGCAAATTAAATAAAATAATAGTATTTAAGATAATTACAAAAGAAACTAAATATTTTTTTAAAACATTTAGAATCGCGCATCTTTAAACATAGCCCTTTCAGAACACGTCTTTATAGAATTTTTTTCTTATGTGTTGATGAGGAATCCCTTCCTTAATATTTTGAACACCCTCTACAATATTTCTCCGGATAGTCTTTACAAGAGGAAAAACTTTTTTATTTTTGACATTTTGAGAAAAATGCATTCTTTAATAATTAACATCTATCAAAGAGTAAAATATAAATTGTATTACCAGAGAAAGGCCTTTTCATTTTTAGAACTTAAAAAAAAAGATGCATGTAAAGATATTTTAGTTAAATGCTACAGGGTGTTCAAAATATATTTATGAATTTCAACTGCTTAAAATTAAAAAATCTCAATTTTTTTAAATGGTACACCCTATATATTATCATTTCTTCTGATAGATTTTACAAAGCTCTTCAACTTTTATAGTGTCATATACCACTTTTTAATAGTTTGCAATTTACTTCAATTTTTTCTATTTTTGCCCATATTTTTAATACAATTACGCTATATCATCATAGCCATGACAAAACAACAATATTTATTACTTATCTTTATCAAGTAGTTTAATAATTAGTTGTAGAATGTAGAATGTGTAGAATGTTTAGGAGGGGAGTTAATCACCGCGACCTTACAGTTCTATTGTGTATTCCCCTTTCTTGAGTTATAACGAGTTATAACTCATCATACAGTCTCAGGGCTTTGACAAAAGCCAGTATCTGAGACGGCCCCACGGAGGCCAGCTCTCCATCCTCGACATCAGCCGTACTAAAGTTCATGGCACGAATGGTCGTCGTCTCGGCGCACTCAGTGATAAGGTGTTCTGGTATTTCCCCATTTTCCCCACAGAATCTGCATTCGCCGTTGTTTCTCAGCTTCAGCCTACTGAGGTGTTCGTTGAGGAGACAGTGTCCTGTTAGAAATCTCGTGACCATCCGAAGATTGTTTTTACTTAAATCAAGGAAAACCATTGATTTTTCTCGGTCGTAAGTTCGGGGGAACTTTTTCGAGTGTCTTAGACCGTTGGAAGACACCCATTCCAAAGGTTACAGATGGAGTCTTCCAGATTCTTTAGTTCCGCTTTCAGCTGGTTCCCGCTTGGAAAACAGAACGGTTCTGGTCCAGTGTTCTCTCCTTTTCTTTCTAAACCAGTATTCTCTCCTTTTTTAGCTAGATCATTTGTTTTTTCATTGCCTTCTATCAGTTGGTAAGTAAACACCCAGAGTAGGAGGACTTTATTTTCTTTGCCTAATTTGTTGATCTTCTCTAGACATTCTTTGACCAACTTCGAATTGATGGTTACTGAGTTAATCGCGTTTAGTAACCATTAGTTAACACACTTAATACTTACAATTGTTATTATATTAGTTAAAATTAATTAACCTTACACAAATAAACTAAAATCGCCGTCGTGAATTTCTTCGTGTATTCTGTATTATGTCTTTTCTCATAATACAAAATACAGTTGGATTTTCCGTCTGGGTGAATAGCCACAGATAAGGGTAATACTAAGTTACTTAATTGTTGACGACTACTGATATAGGAATTATCTTCGGCATACAGTATTTTTTTTTTATCCTAGTAATTCTGGTTTATAAATTCTGCTACATAATTCATTTTGTAAAGCCAGTATTACTAATACTGCCGCAAAACCATTACACACTGAAAATAATATCATATAATATAATATAATATCTATAATATGAAAATGTTTTCTAGATAATCTACATCTATTCTTATAGCACTTAAGAAAGTACTATATAATATATAGTACTAAACCAAAAAATATATTTTTCTTGGCTTGTTCGTGTAGGTATATCAGTCACATTGACTAGGTAATTCATATTCAGGAAAATCTGTAACTATTATCTCTACCATTTATACTTATTAACAGAGAGATATGAAATTTTGATAATTATTACTTTTTATCATGGTAACTACGATGTTATAGGGTAATTGTATTAAAAATATGGGTAAAAATAGAAAAAAATTGAATAAATCGCAAACGATTAAAAATAGGTGTATGACATACTTAATAAAAGTTGAAGAGTTTTGTAAAATCTATCAGAAAAAATCATAATACGAGTATATAGGGTGTACCATTTAAAAAATTTGAAATTTCTTAATTTAAAAATTTGAAATTCATAAATACATTTTGAACACCCTGTAGCATTTAACTAAAATATCTTTACATACGTCTTTTTCTATATCTCTATAAAATTCTATACTAAATTTTAGTTCTCCAACTTCAGAAACAATGGCATCACTGACAATTTTCTACCACACTGCAATCTAACCTTTGTTTAAACAAATTTAAATATTACAAAAACTACTAATTTTAGGTATATACATCACATGTAAAAAAGTTATGGAATTTTAGGCAGAATCTAAAAATAAAATAAAAATAGGGTGTTGCATTTAAAAAAAACTTATGTTATATTTCCCACACTTTTTTGAAGCACTCTGTATATTCTATAATAATTTTAAAATATGTATCTTATCCGTCCCTATAACTTTTATATTTAATATATATTTTTTTTTGTAAACAAACGTCGAAAAATGGAAACAAATGAGATAATGGACTTTACTCTATCGTTGACTCATAATATAAATGGAAAAAGTCGGGTTCTAGGAGAAAATATTGAAAAACATTGAAGAAAAAAGTTTAATAAATATACAGGGGCTCTAAAAAAATCAAAATTCCCTAATAATAAATCCAAAAAATAATGACATAAAATAAAGCCAATTTCATAAAATTAAATGTTATAAGTAAATGAAATTGAAATGATAACCGACTTTCTTGCAAGAACATTTGAAAAAAAATATACTAATTAAAAATACCTAAAAATAACCTGATATTCTATTCTAAACGAAAAAAAAACAATACATTCGGATGAAATTTTTCTTTTCATCAAGCCATTGCAACCAAGTTTTATAACTAATCTTATTTTTTTTTATTATTTAATAAAAATGAAAATAATATACTTACTTCATTTTATTTTGAAGGCGGCGATTATCCTAAAACATTATTCAAGTTACACTGCACTGTTCGACACAATAAAACAAATAGAATCGAAGAAAAGTGTGTCACAAACTGAGATGGCCTGTTTTTTAATGACATGCATATATTATTATGTATTTCTTTAATATTTCCTAATTAATTTCATTTTCGTTTATTTCCAATTTGTTGTTGATATCGAATACTTAAAACCTTGACTGTTTAATTGTTGAAATGCACGCATGAAATAATTTAATTTGATAAATAGTTGTTGGGTTATTGTTTATATACCGGGTGTCTCAAGTTCGGCTCTCATCATTGGGATATAGGACACGACGGGTGGTTTAAATTGGGACAAAGTTATCTTTATCATTTCCGGATATATGATGGAAAAATCAAAATTTCTTAGGAGTTTATTTAGACAGTTAAATACGGACATGGTTTTTTTATTTCATTTTTAGAAGCTTATCTCTGACCTCTCAAATACAAATGTATAACGCACTTACAAAGAAATATACAGGGCGATCCAAACTGCATTCAGGAAACTTCGGCAGCATATTCTGCAGATAAAAATAAGTAAAAAAGTTCGTATTAATGTATATCCTAAAATACTTAGTTTTGGAGATACAGGGTGTAGAAGTCTCATTTTTATTTATATTTTTTCCAAATAATTTATGAAGTAACATCAATATTTGGATGAAAATTAGCGTCTAGAAGTTTTTGTTACATGAGAAATTTGATTTTGATGTCAGTGTGACTCCTAGTTGTAGAGGGCGCCATCTACATATTTTTAACTGGTTTGAAGAATAATAACTTCTCGTTCGTACCTGTATAAAACTACTGAGTAAAAAAAATATACATTTTCGACGTTTTTCCGTAGAAAAATCTCTTGGTAGAAGTCGCTACGAGTACCTAATGATTCTTGAGATATTTGGAATCAAAATTATCAATACCTATCTGCATTGGCATAAATTAAACATGTTGACTAAATAGTTATTAGACTGAAATTATAAATTTGAAATGTTTTTGTGGCACAAGTTCAACAGAAACTGTTTTTATCATCATTTTTTCAAAGAAAAATTTATGATTAATTTAATAAAATAAAAAGTTTCCAAATTTATAATTTCAGTCAAATTACTATCTACTCAATGCATGCTTATTTTTTGTCAATTATAACATGTATTGCCAATTTCCAGTCTAAATATCTTGAGAACGGTTGCTCGTAGCCATTTTTACCAAGAGACATTTTTTGTACACAAGTAGTGTTTTTTGTACACAAGACAAGTAGTTTTATACAGGTGCACACGAAAAGTTATTATTCTTCAAAACAGTTAAAACACATGCAGGTGGCGCCCCCTACAAATGGGAGTCATATTGACATCAAAATCAAATTTCTCATGTCAAAAAACTTCCAGACACAAATTTTTATCCAAATATTAACGTGACTTCAAATATTATTTGGAAAAAATCTAAATAAAAATGAAATTCCTACACCCTGTATCTATGAAACTAAGCATTTAAGGACATACATCATACATTTATATGAACTTTTTTACTTATTTTTATCTGCAGAATATGCTGCCGAAGTTTTCGGAATACAATTCGGACCACCCAATATAATAAACAATATTCTCATAAGAGGCATGTGTTGAAGATAGATAGATATAGGAGTCACTTTCGGTTATATGCATGTAAAAAACAAGCAACATTTTTTGGGTAAGTGCTATACATCATTGCATTCGGGAGGTAATATGTCTTCTAAAAAATGAAATAAAAACCCATAAATTAACAACTTTGATGACGGTCAAAGAGAAACCAAACGTCTGAAGTGATTTTTGACGTCACCGCACAAAGGATAAAGCTAAAACAGTTTGTTTGAGAATATATTTGTAGTTTTTTTCTAACTACTAAAATAAACTCGTAAAAGAATAAAAACCAAAACTGCCATATTTCCGGAAATGATTGAAACTTTAGCCTAATTTAAGCCACCCTGTATCTCTTATCGTTTCCGAAATCCCAATGGCGAGAGGCGAATTTGAAGCACTCTGTTTTTTCTGTGCAATTTATTGTTAAACTAGTTTTCCTCATTCTGCTGCTAATTATTTAATTATTTAATGTCTTAAAATAATTAAAAATTAAAGCAAGTAGTTCATTGAAAGTGTTTAAGTATCTGGTTTCGTTTGGTTAGCACGCACAGAGGTGTATTTCCGTATTAAAGCTGGCCAAAATTCGAAGATTTAAACTTAATAAATTAATAATCATTAAATATCTCCATGCAATTTTGTAAAATTACATTATTTTGTGAAACTATGAAAAATATTAGATTTTGAAAAACCGCTTATTAAAGTTGCCGTACATATCCATATTACTTTTTCTAAATTTACGTAAAATTCTTTTCAGTGTAGTCAAAACGACAGATTTGTTGTAAAAATAAATGATCCCGTCTGTTCTATATAGACGTTGCCTCAATTCAGTTCAAGTAAAACAGACCGTTTTTTCGTCTACACACAACAGGTAAGACTGAAAGGTAAAACGATACGTGTAGACCAGGCTTTAAAGACAGTTTTAAGACCGAAATACTCTCTTCTGTATCAAAGATTATTTCTATGTAACGTGTCTTATTTTTGTTTTAGAAATATTCTACACTCAGATGCAAAAAAAACGCATGGAGAAAATTTTGGCCAAATTTAAACTGTTATATTTTTGTTCTTTTTAGCCCTATTTTTATGAATTTTTAGCAAGCTGTATATAATTATATCAACTTTAATTGGTAAACACAGTTTTTTAATAAACTTTAGTATTTGGGATATTATACAGCGTTAATCGAGGGTTTTTTACCCTAATTTTGACACACCCTGTGCAATAATTTCGTGTGTAAATTTTCCTGAAATATAATTTTAGGGTCAGAACCATGTCTCCTGAGCATTTTGTTTTTTGGGTCATCTCAATACATGCCTTGGTTAATTTTTAAGATCGTTAGTTCTGTTATTGTTATTAATGTTTATGTTTATTAAAATTAGGACTATATCGTTAGTCTTTAACTTTTTTTTTAATTTAGTATAGAGTATCCTATGCAGCGTAATATGACGTTACGACAATAGTCACCAAAACCTTCTCGTCTTTTTAAAAAAATACATCAAAAGTAATGATAATTAAAAAAATTGCAAATTGATCGTGATCAGTTCATTTCGCTTTTAAAAATTAACCAAAGCATGCATTGACATGATCCAAAAAACAAAATGCTCAGTAAAATTATATTTTAGAAAAATTTACAAACGAAATTATTGCACAGGGTGTTTCAAAGTTAAGATAAAAAAACAACCCCTCGATTAACCCTGTATAATATGCCAATTACTAAAGTTTACAAAAAACTGAGTTTACGAATTAAAGTTGATAGATATAATTATGTACAGTTTACTAAAAAATGCATGCAAATAGGGCTAAAAATAACAAAAATATAACACTTTAAATTTATTTTTTTGCGTTTTTTTGCATCTGAGTGTAATAACCTCTATTTTTAAATAAATTGAGATAAGAGTGTAATTTTCGAAGCTGATTAAACGTAATTAGAAATTAATAATTTTTAATTACCTTGAGTATAATTTCGTTTGAGATACTGCATCGACAACAACTAGAAACAAGAAAATACCATTTCTGACGTAAGTTCGTATGGGATCGAAAAACTTTTCGAAAGTAGCGTCGAAATAATCGTAGTAACCGTTAAGTTCTTTTTTAATTTGATCAAGCATTTTTCAGAATTTTTTTAAATTAAAATTTTTAAAGTATATTACCTTGACTTTTTTAAATAATTTGTACTAAAAGAACATTATTTTTTAGTTGAAATTTGATACAGAGGTTGGTACTTGTGCTGAAAGGCAGTAAATATTTGACAATATAGTAAAAATAAAACTGTGACACATAATCAAACATAAAAATATGATTTTTATAGTCTTTTGTTCTTGATTTTGTGTTCGATGTTTATGACTGTTAATAAGAAATAAATTCCATTTTATTTAATTTCATTATTGTATTCCTATAAATACATTGTTCAATATAATTGTTTAAATAAAATTGGTTTGCTACAGAATAACCAAAGCTTCTAGATATACCTTATTTTACAAGATGAAAGTATCCAGTATGTACCGGGTGGCCAACTAAGAATGGACGCCGCACAGTGTTTCGTCCCATGGACAAAAATAAAAAAATAAGTTAAAATTTACTAATATCTAAATATATAATTTTATACTTATAGCAATGTTCAACCATCCTGTATATTATTTTTCATAAACAGCGTTTTTGTTAGCAAATATTTTCACTAAAAATAAATTTTGCGATCATTATCTCATCAGTGAAAAGTATAACGTTCATAGTAGTTCTGTATATTATGGAGTTAAACTGTGGTTAAACGGGTACGTACTTAATTGAAAGCCACTATGGATATTGTTAAACAAGGTATGTACTTTAAATTTATTTCTAAACAAGTTCGTGATTGTTTAGTTTTTATTTATTTTTTAAGATGATTCTTAAATGGGTATAAAAATTTTAAGTTTTCAAACTTCAAAAAGGCATATTCATACACTTTTAATTTTTGTATAGTTCACCTGCGTCTGCTTGCGACGAACTTTATTTTATAATACTTTTCAGATGGAGTAAAATTGATAAGCAATGCCGATCTGGCTAATACTTGGCTTGATCATAAGGATAAGAACTCAAAATTATTTGTATTTCAAAAAATATGTTCTTATTAGATATTGATGAACCTTCCAGTCAAATGAGACACCACTTGTGCCTGAAAAAGTCCACTATGTTGGAGCGAAACGTCGCATAAAAAAAATGTCCATCTTTCAATTTATTATAAAATGTTATACCCAAGAAAAGGAAAAAATAATATATGGAGAAGGTATATTAAAGATGTAACTATTAACATCCGAACCCCTCATACCGACAAAATGAACAGTAACAACGCGAAAAAGTAACATATTAGAAAATGATGTACAGAAATATATTATATGTGAGGATACTTCATCTACCTGTGATTTGGATACTATAAATTTGGAAGATTCTGTCAGCAGTAATTCTCCTGAATCAGAGTAGTTACGATCTATGCATTTTGTTGTCCTAAAGTAAATTTATAGTATCTTAAGTTTTTTTTTAATTAAATATAACATTAATGTTTCTTTTTCATTAAAGAAAAACATTTTTATCTTATATTAGGCTTATATTGTAGGAATCATGTTCTAATGTTATTTCAATTCTTT